CCCCAAAACCCCAAAACCCCAAAACCCCAAAACCCCAAAACCCCAACTAAAGTTTCTAATACTGAACTATTGTTACATATCTCTTCTAGGCAATAAAGATCAGTATTCTTCTCAATTAGGGATCTCACTCTAAATGCTTACTTTCTTTATTCGATTTCTTCTCGGACTGTTTAGTGCTCTCTTTTGCATCTTGTTTATGAGATTCTCACTCAGTGATTGGGGAACTTGTATCGATGTTCTGGGGATGAAAACTATCAGTAGCTTGATAAGCCACACTTAAAGGTTTAGTTTCAGGAGGATTTACGACTAACATTGATTGATCTTCTTCCATTCTTTCAACCAAAGCTTTAATATCAGGATCCTTTTCTTCAATAACTTGAGAAAGTTCAGGTTTTTCTTTAGAAGTGTTTAGCGATTCAGCAGGGGTTGGATTCATTACAGCTTGGCTTTTGAGATTTCCATTTTCATTCTGGTTCATATCTCTTCTCTCTTGTTTATTTTGCCCTATGGCTTCCTCTTTATCCTCTTCTTTATTTTGCTTTTGCTTATCTACTTCCATAGGTGACTCAGACACATTATTCATTCTTCTCTCGTACAGTTCTTGTAGTGTAATTCCAAGCTCTCTTGCTTCAGCATTATCTTCTCTACTTTTTATGCTTTTGTAATATACATAAGCGGAGGCAAACATTTTGAGTATTTCTCCTGTGAGCATCCCGCTCACAAAATTGATTACTAGGATTTTAAGTTTACTGATCTTATCATTGACATTGCTGTTTATGAACTTGATGACATCAGACTCGCCATGTCTAAAACGAGGAATCAGCTTATTTATAATGTCTCCTGCCCACCATTTAATTGTCTTGATGAACCTATCTCTGAAGTCAGAATTTTTTGGAGTACAGTCAAGGTCAAGGACCAATTTTATCAATTTGAGGATATGTTTGGGGTTGTTCTCTCTAATTATGTTCCTTGGATCCTCTCTTCCAGTAATGTTGTCTCTTACTGAGTCTGGGATATCAATGAAGTCCATAATCTCTGTGTTGATTTGATCAGCAGCCAGTTTTCTTGCTTCAGGGTTATCAGAGTTATTCAGATAGTCTCTGAGTAAGACTTCCTTCATTTTAGGATGAAGTTTGTCAACTATTTGATATTCTCCTGATAAAATTGGAAGCATCTCGTTAACTGTTTGATCGAGAACTACATTTATTGCTATATTATTTGGAATATTTGCCGAATCACTCTTGAAAGCACACTCTCTTAAGGTAGTATCCAACGAAAAATTTCCTGGAAGATTTTGCCGATAATCTCGAATAGTTCTTCTTAAATCAATACTGGAATTATTTTAACAGATCAGCAAAAGGGCCTGCCACATCAACTGAAGTTTGTTGCTTTTGCTCCTCATCCTCCATATTAGCATCTCTGGTGTGGGAAATAGCTCTAGATGTAGTATTTCTTCTAGAAGTAGTTGGAGGTTGAGATCTTTGAGATTGGTTTTGTTGATATCTACTAGCTAGGTCTTCTACCATCGATCGCAAATTATTCCCTGACCCAGAGAGTGTAACCCCTTGTAATGATCCACTAAATAGATCTTGCGTTGACTGTCCTGGCTGGGACACCCCAAAGCTGAAAGGTAGGCCAGAATTTTGTGCATTTGTCCTTCTATTAGCACCTGGCTGAGATAGTCTAGCTGAACTAGCAGCAGATAGAGGGAATACTCTTGAAGAGTTAGAAGTACCAGAACTTTGTGCAATCCCTGAAGTTCTATTTGGCTGGTTTCTCCTTGAAGAATTTGGATTCGTTTGAGCTTCAGAAGCAGGTTTGCTTGTCTGAGAATTATTTTGATTACCAGAAGAGGTATTCTGAGTACGATCTCTTTCTTGTGTAGCACCCACAGTAGTCGTGTTAGTTCTTCCCCTTCCAGCCAGAGAATCTATAAAAGAACTATTCATCTCTGCAAAATCTTGGTGAGGAGTTGCATTAACTCTATATCTTCCAGGACGTGGGTTAAGGTAGAAATCTTTGAAATAATGTGAAGACAATAACAATGCTCGTGATAGATCTTCCATTGCTTGACCAGTTTGGTTGATTAATCTTTGCCCATCTGTTCTTTCACCTGGAGCCACTATTTGAGATTCTCTTTGAAGAATTTCTCCAGATCTACAGATAAATGCATTAAGTCTTTGAATAGCTAATTGTAAAGACATCAGATAATTTCCAAGAATTGTTGCTGGGTTTCTTGGAGCATCCAATGCTGGGGCAGGGGAACTAGGAAAAGTAGATCCATCTCCCATCAAGCTATCTCAAATTGTATGGATATTACGGATGTGCTCGTGAGGTAAAGCAATTGCTGTAGGTCTTGCTCTGTTTCTTTGTCTGCTTTCTTTTGCCTCTTCAGTAGATCCTGATAATACTTCTGCTCTCCCTTCATTTCGAGGATTTTGTGTTTGGGATGATTGGGCTGGAGTAGGAGATACTCGTGTGTTTGAAGGAAGCTGGCTATTGCTTCTTTGGGACTGAGCATTAGTTTGATTTGTTGAAGTTCGAGAATTTCTTTGAGTTGAGTTTGAGCGATTTTGAGAACTCATAATTCCTCCGAAAATTTGAGGAACTCCAAAACCTTGAATGCTAAATCGAGTATGTTGTGATCCTTGGGCTCCTGAATCTCTAAGGTTAGATATTATATTGTCAAAAATATTTTCTACTATTCCTAAATGATTATTTCGATTTTGAGGTTGCTCCTGATTACTCTGGTTTTGATTAATCCTTTGCTGAGCTTCTACTCTAGCTCTGGCTACCTCTTCTGCCATTGCCATCATCTGTATACATTCATTATCCTTCTGAATCACTTGATTCAGAGTCATATCATCTTTTAAAAGCCTTCCCTTGCAAAGTAATCTCTGTCTATGCACTGGAACTCCTGTTTTCTGTTCGATTAACTTTCTTAAATCAAGTATTGAAATGTTGTAGGGTGTCTTAAATTCTTGGTTCCTTCCATCCATAGTCTGGACATTGAATTTTCTCTCAATATTTCCATCCATCTTGTTAGCAACTATTTCTTTGAGCTCAATTAATTTTACAAAAAATGGGGTTTTGGGGTTTTGGGGTTTTGGGGTTTTGGGGTTTTGGGG